AGCAACTGCGTCATTAACTCATTGCGACGAGAATTTATGAGTTTCCAATCTTTAAATTGGCACTCTATTCCTCGCGCATGATTATCGAATGTTCTGTGGATTTCATTCAACATAAAAGAAATGTCGACAATGCGACGGCCTTCAGGCAAACTTTCTTGAATACAAGAAGTGTCTAGAAGGGCTTTGTTATCGATAACAAGAGTATTGTTATAGTCGCAATTATCAATATTCTGATTATACATACCTTTATTTGGTGTTAGTTTCAGGCACTGCATTACCTGGGTACTAATATCCGAATCCGTATCAGGGAATGGTTCTACTGATTTATAAAAATCAACGGATTCGTCGTTAGTACCTTTAGTAAGCTCTGTGTTCTTCATCTGTAAGTTTAGTTTTACTAACTGTCGCCTGCAAAAAAAAATCAATGGATTGGTATTATTTTGTAAAATATTGCTACAATAAAAAGATATGTCAAATTTATTATATCATTACAATCAAATCATTTTGAATAATATTTAAAAAAGTAAAACCTCTGAAAAATAAGTGCAGCCCTTTGTTTATAAAATCTTACATAAAATTAAAATCTTACATAATTACTACTGAAAATTAACTATGGCACACAATAGATCATATTTTGACAACATAAATGCAATATTTTTCAGTAAACCGAAGTGCATATGCAAATCGCTTCTGGGATAAAATATTTTTTTGCAACCAGCACACGAATAGATCGCCTCTGGGATAAAATTTTTTTTTGCAACCAGCACACGAATAGATCGCCTCTGGAATAAAATATTTTTTTTAAACAACCAGTTCACAAATAGATCGCCTCTGGGATAAAATATTTTTTTTAAACAACCAGCACACGGATAGATCGCCTCTGGGATAAAATATTTTTTTGCAACCAGTTCACGAATAGATCGCCTCTGGGATAAAATATTTTTTTTAAACAACCAGCACACGAACAGATCGCCTCTGGAATAAAATATATTTTTGCAACCAGCTCACAAATAGATCGCCTCTGGGATAAAATATTTTTTTTAAACAACCAGCACACGAATAGATCGCCTCTGGGATAAAATATTCTTTTTAAACAACCAGCACACGAATAGATTGCCTCTGGGATAAAATATTTTTTTGCAACCAGCACACGAATAGATCGCCTCTAGGATAAAATATTTTTTTTAAACAACCAGCTCACGAATAGATCGCCTCTGGCACTAATTACTACAATGGGTAAATATAGCGAATAGGAGACCCAGCCCCAATGACCTTGACCTTGACATATGTTGTCAAGGACATAATTCTGAGAAACTTTTTCTTCTCATTTAATCGTCGCTCGTTGCTTATTAAAAAGTTAGTAACAAACAAAAATTTGTAAAAATCAAGATTTATACATAGTCTGGCAATGAAAAACTGGATATTAAAGTTAGTTTACAGAAATAGTCCTACGTATACTACACATATAAACTGAAATAAACACAAGTTTTTACATATATAGGGTGTTCAAAAATAAAATATAAGGGTAAATATAGCGAATAGGGGACCTAGCCCCAATGACCTTGACCTTGACCTATGTTGTCAAGGACATAATTCCGAGTAACTTTTTCTTCTAATTTAATCGTCGCTCGTTGCTTATTAAAAAGTTATTAACAAAAAAAGTTTGAAATATACCAAAGTACATGCACGGACAGGAAGCACGCGCGCGCGCGCGCACGCACACACACACACACACGGTGGGATGCAAGGGGGGCCTTCGGCCCCCTCCCGCACCCACCCCACCGATAGGCAGGATGGACCTCGCTTTACAACTTACAAAGTACATGCTACATACAAGCGAGCTAAAAAGTTTGTCGTACGACAAATGTAATATCGGCCTCAGACTACGCATTGAAGATTGAGATCGAAGATTGAAGATTGAAATTTGACCAATTAAAACACAGAAATTTTAGTTTCTTTTATTCCAATTAGTCAAATTCCAATCTTTAATCTTTATTGTTCAATCCATAGTCTTCAATAAATAAAATAAGAAAAATAAAATAAAAGAAGAAAATAGTACTACAATAAAATATTTTTTAAATAGCTATAATTATTGTACTGTCAATTGTCAAAAAAATATAGAAAATATAACAAATATAGAGAAAATATATAACAAATCAAATTTTTTTTTGATCTATATATCTAATATTTTATTTAACTACAACACTATTTACATTTTTTCTCTATATTTGTAATTAAAATAATTTTTTGACAATTGATAGTACCAAATTTCATACACTAATCTTTTTACATAGGCTTCCAAGCTGATTTAGTATTATTCTTTCATGTTATCTCATTTTCGGGCGCTACATCTTTTGCACGAACAAACTGCAGAATTTTTATATTAAATAAGTATTGTTACAACTTGATGTAACAGGCCGATAAGAAAACTGTAATTATTTAACTTTTTAGGATTTTTTACATTAAATTATAGCGTCCGCACATCGTTATTACGAGTACTTTAATTCTAGAAAAGGATTTTTTATTCTGTATAGCCAACAAAAAGATTAGTACTTGAACTCAAACTTCGCATTTTTATCGGTAAAACAGACCTTTGTGGATCCCCTTAACTCGAGAAAATTAATATGTTTTTCTCGTTCCTGAAACCGTGTGTCCGTTTATTGACACAGGCAACTCCCCAGCCCGTTAGGGATGCATCGCTGAAGATTTCCATCTCAAACTGGTCTTCCCTTATTGGATTAGTGCACAACATTATATTATCTATCCACCAATCTAAATCCGGCATTATTTTCTCCGAAATCGTCATATCTCTATCGTAATCTCCATTTGTTTTTCCCAACGCTAAAAATTTTTCTTTTTCCAGGCTTTTTGTGTACAAAGTTCCGTACCTAACTGTAGGACACGCGGCTACTAGAGTTCCGATAAATTCTGCGAATTTAAGATTTTACAACGACAGAGATCCCGGAATTTCATTGCTAGATCGTATATCTAAACTTTTTTCGTATATCTAACCTTTTTTCTTCGGTCAATTTTAGACAGAATTCTTCCGAATCTAACAGAAAACCGAGAAACTTTATCTCTTTCGACAGCACGAGCCTACATTTCTCTAAATTTAAAATCATACCTACAGTTTCTAATAACTCCCCAGGTAGCAAGGTATCGTCATTACGTTATTTTAAGGTCATTTCTCGTTATATGACGTCAGTCGACTAAATAATGACGTAACACAGACGTGACATTTTTGACGACATATTATCGTCACAGAAATAACGTCACTTAATCGTCTTTTTTAGGTTATTTACTGATCAATTAACTAATATTGTTATAATATGTCAATATTAAAGTTACCGTATTTAAACAAAGAAAATAATAAATATTTAATGATACTTATTAAGTTATATTATTATACTGAGCTATCGGTTTCATTAATTTAGTGAACACGAACGGAGCTGTGCACAATCCAAATGGAATACGTACAACTTGTTTTTATAACTGAATCGAAGATATTTCCGGCATGATTTTTCCACGGGAATCAAAAAATAGGAATCTTTGAGATCTAACGACGCCATGAATGAATCTTTACGCATTAAGCGAATAGCTGTCTTTTTATCTTCCATCTTAAAATGAGGCGCCGAGATAAACGTATTCAACTTCTTTAGGTTAGGAATAAACCGCATGTCACCGTTGGGTTTAACGATCAAAAAATATGGTGAAATGAACTGATTTTTATTAAAGCTACATCTAGAGATTTTTTTAAGCAGTTTACCAATCTCGATTTCGCAAGTAAGGATTTCTTGTGCTGTTAATCTAGGCTCTATACTTTTTGATCGTGAATGCGGTTGACTCTCAAACGGAATAACATATCCTCTTATACATTGTAAAATAAATGGGTCGATAGTCAATTTTTTCCACGCCGAGAAAAAGTATCTCACTCTTCCTGCGATTCTCACCGTGTCTAGTCCTTGTGTTGACGACTGTCCTTGGACCGGAAGTCTCTCGATTTCTGTTGCTTCCGTTGAGTGCCCCGGTGACTCATCCCGGAGAGACGATGCCAGTTTAACCTCCTGGATTGACGCTGGTTCGAGTATCCGCCCTGTCTCGACCGTGATGACTGGAATCTACGATTGTCACCTCGAGCCTTAGTACCAAAACTTCTCCGCTGTTCACCACCTTGCTTGACTAAATCCTTGGAAGGATTTTTTCATAGCTTTTGCCGCTTTGAGACTGTGCAATAAAGAAGTGGACGTGGGCGAGAGGAGCCCTGCGAGATTGTGGTGCACTCGAGACAGACACTCGACAGAGAAAAGACGAGCGACTTGACGACACTGCTTTTTGGTTTAATCTGGACGGACTATATTTCAATAGATAACGATTTACAAATGTTTTGTCGATGAGATTTCTTCCAATCTTAATCAAATCTTCGCTCCGGCGAGCGACCGGGAGCGTGGCGATAATCTCCGCGAGCGACGGATATATCGCGAATACCGTGCCGCCCGCCTTGTATGGCGTAGCCTACGAAATTTTGGCTGGTGGCGGAATATGCCGGAGTTGAAAGCGAGCCGATTTTCTTGCGGTCGAGTTCGGCGTCTCGGCATGCGATCACGCGGCGCGAGCGTGGCGCGGGTCGATCACGCGGCGCGAACGTGACGCTGCTGCAATGGAATGTGCTTCCATTCATAGTTCTGCAGATCGTGCGACGCGTTACGCTGCATCGTTCATGCGCGTAATTGTCGTGAGTTTGTCGGTTGCTCGGTGCAAGTGATTTCGAGAGCCGTTGTTGCGACGATGTTTTCGCGACGGCATTTGCGGTCGCGTGTGGTGTTGTGCGGAGGTCGCGGTGTCCAAGTGAACAGCTGATCGTACCGGGGTTTACGCTGGGCGCACGCCGGACTCGCGTGAGAGAAAGTTTTGACGCGTTTCGCGGTTTATTATCATATGATCGTGATTATTATTTTCTCTTTACAGGGACGTCGAGTGGTGGCGTGCGTGCGATTTGCTCGCTAGTCCTCCTGCGCGGCGGAGTTGCTCTCCGGCAGGAGGATTAATTTTGTGATCGGTCGCGTCAGTTCCGAGGCGGCGGTGCGGATCGTGACTACGCGGATTTGACCGTCCTCGCCAGGATGCACCCGCGTGATTCTGGCCAGAGGCCAACGCGTCGGCGGGGTGTTGTCATTGCGCAGGAGACACAGGCGACCGACTCGCACGTCGTCGCTCTTCGTCCACCACTTCGGTCGTTGGAGGAGCGAGTGGATGTACTCCTGGGACCACCGGGCCCAGAAGTGGTCGCGCATCCTCTGGAGTTGCTGCCATCTGGTTAAGCGGCCAATTGGTGCCTCCAGGAGGCTCGGCTCGGGAAGTGCGTTGAGGGCTGATCCCACTAGGAAGTGCCCCGGTGTCTGGGCCGCCAGGTCGTCCGGGTCGTCCGATAGCACCTGGAGAGGTCGAGAGTTCAGACAAGCCTCGATTTGCGTGAGGAGGGTGCTCATCTCCTCGTATGTCAGCATCGTCTCGCCCAGCACTCTGCGGAGGTGGTGCTTGAGCGACTTCACCGCTGCCTCCCAAAGACCGCCGAAATGAGGTGCTGCCGGGGGGTTAAAGCACCACTGAATCCGGTCGTTGGCCAGCTGATCGGCGATTTGGCGCTGTTCCGGGTTGCTGGCGGCGAAAAATGCTCGGATCTGCGCGTCGGCGCAGACAAAGTTGGTGCCGCAGTCGCTGTGAAGGGAGCGACAGAGACCCCGCCGAGCCGTGAGCCGCCGCAATGCTGCCAGGAATGCTTCCGCGGTGTAGTCGGAGACCACCTCAATATGCACCGCCCTTGTGCTGAGGCACACGAAGACCGCGATGAAGGCCTTGTGAGCTCGATGCCCGCGCCCCTTGCTCGTTCGCAACTGGATGGGGCCGGCGTAGTCCACGCCGGTGAGCAAGAATGGCCTTGCTGGCATGACGCGTGACCGCGGCAGATCACCCATGATTTGTTGCTGCGTGGCCGCCCGCCATCGCACACAGGTGACACAGCGCTGGATCACGGCCTTCACCAGGTGACGCCCCCGAGGAATCCAGTACTGTTGGCGAAGCGACCCGAGGGTGAGTTGCACTCTGCCGTGCAGAGTCCGCTGGTGACATGCCTCTATGATGATGCGCGTGAAGCGCGATGATCGTGGCAGGATCGTCGGGTCTTCTCGTCGAACGCCAAGAGCGCATGTTTTATCCGCCCACCAACCCTGAGGATGCCTTGCAGATCTACAAAAGGGGTAAGTTTTATGAGCGAGTTCTTGCTAGGCAATTTGGCCCCCCGCGCGAGCGTCTTCATTTCTTGCTCGTATTCCCCAGCTTGCATCACCCGAATCCACGCCCGGCGAGCCTCGTCGCATTCAGCGGCCGAAAGAGTGGTCCTGGATGGCGGCTGATTCACCTCCGTTTCTGGACGCCGAGCATTGGGTCGCTAAGGCATCCATCGGCGACACCAGGCTGTCACTCGTAGCAGGCGGTTTAGTGACGAGAATCGCGTGAGTTCGTCCGCCTCGCCGATCTCTCCTGCTGGCGCCGCGACAGCGTGAGTCCTTGAGCGCGCCTCTGGAGGGTCGTCGTCGATCACCTCGTCCGGCAATGTCGGCCACGCGGCCTTGTCCTCCTGAAGCCAGGGGGGCCCTGTCCACCAGAGCGGGTGCCCGGCCAGGTCGCCTGGGGAAACTCCCCGCGATGCGCAGTCGGCGGGATTTTCCGGTCCAGGAAGATGATGCCACGCCGCCTCTGGCAGAGTCGTCTGAATTTCGGCGGCTCGGTTCGCGACGTACGTTTTCCAGCGCGACGGATGGCCACGGATCCAGCCCAGTGCGACCGTGGAGTCGGACCATAGGTGGACGGGAATATTCGGTTGGTCGAGCGTGCGCTGGACATGGGCAGCTAGCCTGACGAAGCAGGGTTGCCGCGCAGAGCTCCAGTCGTGGGAGAGACACCGTTTTCAACGGCGCGACCTTGGTTTTTGCTGCAATTAACTTTACCTCTTTCTGCCCCTCGCAGGTCTCCGCTCTCACATAGACGACCGCAGCGTACGCCCGCTCGGATGCATCTGCGAAGCCATGGAACTCGATCGAGGAGCTTGACCTGCTGAGTTGGACATGCCGTGGAACGCGAATCTCCTCCAGCCTGTGCAGGTCGGCTTGGAAGCTGCGCCAGAGTTGCGCATTGGTGTCGTCCAACGGGGTGTCCCAATCGATGCCGAGCAACCAGGTCGACTGGAACTGGATTTTCGCCCGGATAACCGCAGGAGCCAGCCACCCCAGTGGGTCGAATAGGCGAGCCGTCAACGACAAGACAGACCGCTTGGTGTAGACAACCACAGCGATGTTCCTGGTCGAGAAGGAGAAGTCGTCGATGCTCGGGTGCCATTGAAGGCCGAGAGTGCCGTGACTCTCATGCGGGGCCCACGCCCGCAAGTCGCGCTGTGCTCTGTGCTCCGGTGGGATGTCGGCAAGCAGGCCGGGAGAATTTGCTGACCACTTTCGCAGCGGGAACCCGCCCGCCGTGCACAGTTGCGTCAGCTGCTGCCGAAGGTCCAGTGCTTCTGCGATGGAGGATGCGCCCGTGAGGATGTCGTCCACATAGGCATCCCGGCGCAGGACGGCTGATCCCCTGGGGAAGCGGGCCTCCTCGTCATCGGCGAGCTGTCGCAGAGAGCGCATTGCCAGGAACGGGGCGCACGCCAGCCCGTACGTCACTGTATTTAGCTCGAACTCTTGCTGGGCGGTCTGGTTGTCGTGACGCCATAGAATCTGCTGCAGATGGCGATCCTGAGGGGCTACGAGTATTTGGCGATACATCTTTTCGATGTCGCTCGCCAGTACGTAGCGATGGACTCGCCACCGCAGCAACACGTCGGCCAAGGCAGGCAACAGGTTTGGCCCTGTCTTCAAGTGCCTGTTGAGACTTGCTCCTGATGCGACCGCTGAGGACCCGTTGAACACGACCCGGATCTTCGGTGGTGAGCTCGCCTTGCGCATCACGCCGTGGTGTGGCAGGAAGCAATCGGGCTTTGGTTGGTCACGGGATGATGGAGCGAGCGTCATGTGGCCAAGGGTTTCGTACTCTTGCATGAAGTCGCGGTAGAGCTGCCGCAGTTGAGCATCTCGGTCGAACCTCCTTTCCATCTGCCCGAGCAGGCGGGCTGCGGAGCGCCTTGTGCCCGTGAGATCCGGGAGAGGCAGCTTGAGCGGGAGTCGAACCACGTACCGACCGTTGACGTCACGAGAATGCGTCCGCGCGAAGTGGTCTTCAGCCTCCCGTTCCTCAGTCGTGAGTGGAGGAGCCGCGGAGCTCATGTCCTCCTGTTGCCAGAATCTTTGCACCAGGCCGGGAAGCTCGTCGTCTCCGTGGCATTGGTAAGTCTGAGCGGATCGCGGGCCGCTGGCCATGCCGACGGTGCCCGACAGAATCCACCCTAACTTTGTGTTCTAAGCCACAGGTTCTTGAGATCGTCCGCGCCGCAAGCCCTGCAAAAAAATGTCTGCATAGACGTCCGCACCGAGGAGGAGCTCCACCGCGTCGGCCGCAAAGAATTCCGGGTCTGCAAGCTCCAGCCCGTCAATGTGCTCCCATGATTGCCGGTCCGCACGGAGACCGCCATTGTAGAGCGTGAGTCGAGGAAGGATGAGAGCTGACTCGGTCATCTTCGGTTCTCCGTGGAGTGACGACATCTCGAGGTCGACCATGCCCCGAGCGACGCTCGTAAGTTTACCGCCTATGCCGAAGATCGAGACTGAGGTGGGCAACCTCAATCGCTGCGCCAGCGATTCCGCGATCAGCGAGGTTTCCGAGCCTTGGTCGATTAGGGCGCGCGCGGCATGCAAGACGCCGAATCTGTCTGCCACACGAACGCGCGCGGTCGCCAGAAGCACTGCAGGAGCGCGTTTAGCCGTTCGGTTCGCGGCGTGCGAGGACTTGACTGCCTCGTGTGTGCTGCACGCATCGTGCAGAGTAGAATGGTGATGCGCGCCGCACGACGTGCACGTCTTCTTTGATTTGCACTCGCTCGCTTTATGCCGTCCGAGGCAATTGAAGCACAAGTTATTGGCTTCGACGTGCCGCCTCTTCTCCGACGCGGTTTTCGATTGGTACGCGTCGCAGAACATTATGTAATGGTCCTATTGACACATCGAACAGCGACCGCGCTTGCCCTCCGGTTTCCGGGCGTGAAGCACTCGTGTCGGACGCCCTGAATTCGCACTCGGTTTCGCGGGGATCATTTCCGGTTTGGCCGACTGCAATGATTTGAGCGTATGCAGCCGATGGTCGAGAAACTGCAGCAACGCGGCGTGCGAAGGCGGCTCTGTCGTGCTGCTACTCGCGTTCTCCCATTCGCGACGCGACCGGGAGTCCAGCAGATCCACGACGAGGTGCACGAAAAGATCCTCCCCGCGCGTTATCGGCCGGCCGATGCTCTCGAGCGAGCCGACGGTGCTCATTACGCCGTGATACAGTCTGCGCAGGTCTGAGGCTGACTCACTCTTCAGCCTTTGGATGGCTGTGAACTTCGATATGTACGACCGAACCAGGAGGCGCTTGTTCTCGTAGTAGTCCGTGAGGGTCTTCCACGCGCGGTTGAAATTTTCGCCTGTTGTGGGGAGACTGCGAACTAGAAGCTCTGCTTCTCCTTTCAGGCACGACTTCAGATAGTGGAGCTTCTCGACGTCGGCGGTGGATTCGTCTTTCCCGATGAGGGAGTGAAAGAGGTCGCGGAACGACGGCCAATCCTCGTACAGACCGGAGAACTGCGGGAGTTAGATTCTCGGCAGGGTCGTTCGCGCCGGATGAGACGGCGCCGTTCCGATGGTCGGAGTCTCGGTCCTCTCCGCGGCTCTGAGGCGTCGAAGCGTGTCCAAGAACATGCCCTTCTGCGTCAGGTACGCCTCCTCGGCTAACGTTGGCATGTCGGTTTTTACATACTGGCTGTCCGACAGGGCCTCCCAGTGTTCGAGGAGCTTGTCGTGCTGGAACTCGAACTTCGCCCAGTTGGCCTCGAGGGCTTGGAGTCTCGCTTCTGCCAGCCCGATCGTGATATTGGCGGATCCCGATTTCCGCAAGTTCTCGTACGCGCGGGCAATGCGCCCGTATAAGTCCGACTGCGAGCGGACAGTTGGTTCCCTGTCCTTATTCATCCTTCTCTTTCAGGTGGTCGACGTCCGGAAGAGTACTGACGGACTCACCGCAGGCGCTGCACTCACTCCACGCACCGGCACCGGATAGCAGGAAATCCGGCTTGAAGGACCAGCAAATGTGCGATAAAGAAGTGGACGTGGGCGAGAGGAGCCCTGCGAGATTGTGGTGCACTCGAGACAGACACTCGACAGAGAAAAGACGAAAATCGTTGGCGATATGTTTCACAATAGGATTTAATCCCGGAACAATAAACGATTTTCTTGTTTTGGACATATCATGGTGCAAGTCAGACAGAATCCTACCTGCGTCGGCAAGACGTTCGATAAATTTTAATACATTGCTCGCTACTTTTCTTCGCGTTTAACACCTCCGGTAACGCCAATAGCATTGATGCCAACTCCCAGCTGATTTTGAGCCAAATATTGGTAGGTATCTTTCTTTATCGCCAAAGCCGACAAGGCAGTTCTGATCTCAGGGTTTAACTTTGGCGCATTGGTGAGACGGCAATTACCTATTGTTGGGTATTTCCCTTGGAGATCACGCTTCTGATCTTTCCATAGGCCGTCTCGCAAAATTTTATCCCAACGTTCTGCTACTGCCACGTGAATATCGAAACCTATTTGATCATCTTTAGTTGGATCATCTCCCAACAAGCCCAACGTCGACTCGTCGAGATCCACGGATTTATTTTTCCCATCGGCATCTGGTTGTTTTACCGACGCATCTAACGGTTGATCCTCTTCTTCTTTGTCGAGCCCATTCGCTGACATCGATGTCTCTGACTCGCTCGAACTCGAGTACGACCGACTGGAACGTGACGCATCTTGCGGATAACGCTCACCGCTTCTTTTGTCGGACCAAATTTCCGAATGCTTCCTTACTCGCCTGGTTGAGATTGACTGTTTTCGACTAGAATGCGATGCACGTCTATTTTTCCCAGCGATACGCTCCTCATTCTCTTTGTCGGAATAACCTCTCCTTGAGCGTTTGTTGTGACGAGATCTCGAACGTTCTCGTCGAGACTTCTCACGGGAACACGATCGCTTGTACTTGGCTTCCAAGCGATGTAGTTTCTCCAAAAAGGCGTCCTTCGTCGATTTTCTTCATTTTCGTGAGCTTCTCACCGATTCTTCTAAGGATGAACTCATACTTTCTTTTTGAATCACCAAAAATTTTAAGATTTTCTCTTATTTAATGATTTTTTACGACTGTCTCGGATCGCACAGAAAGAGGTAATGGCGTTGCGGTGTCATCATGAAGGAAAAGTAAGGAGAGTTATCTACCTAGATTGGAAATGGTCACGAAAAATGTTCCGTATGTGGCCAGGTTTGCCAAATGGAATTACTTGGACTAATTCGTCATCATCTTGAATATTCGTACATATATAGTGTTATGTTTAGTTGTATTAGTGATCAGTAAGTGTGTTGGATGACATACTACTTACTAATTACTACCACAACTAAACGTAACACTATACATATACGAATATTCAAGATGGCGACAAAATGGTCCCAATTATTCCATTTGGCAAACCTGGCCACATAGGGAACATTTTTCGTGACCAACTTTTTTCCTTTCTACACTATTGAGATAACTCTCCTTACTCTTCCTGCATGGGCGTCATGAGGGTACCGGACCGCCCTCTATAGCCGGAGGCGCAAGTTTTAAGCGGAATTTGAAAAATGTGGCGGATCGAGCAACTGACGTTACTACGCATTGATCTAGAGGACAAGACGACGCAGCATAATTGTATATATACTTTTCTATATCAACTATTCGCTGCTTTAACAAAAAGACTGTTTAATATATCAACAATTCACTGCTTTAAATGACTTTCCTTCGTTCATACATGTACTATTTCCACATACATATTAGTCATTTATGCCTTTCAATACTCAAAATAAACTGCTATATTTTTCAAACTTTTTTTGTTAATAACTTTTTAATAAAAAACGAGCGACTGCTAAAACCTATTAAATGTTGTTCAGGATCATGACCTTAACAACATATGTCAAGGTCAATGTCATCGGGACTGCCTCCCTTCATCGGCATATTTACCTTTATTTTTACTTGAAAATGTTTTAAACGTATATGTTTAAAAATAAATGACTGACGTTTGAATGATACGAATCGATCGAATATCGAATTCATATCGAATCCTGCACAATTTTGCAATATCCGATATGACATTCTGTCCAATTGTAGATGGCTGCCCTTGCTTTACATGTTATTATATGGAATATAGCCGTGTTAGCAGTCTAGGTATAATATATGGAAGTCTGTAACATGGCTACATCTATTTTTTAATACCATCAATAAAATCGTCGTTTGCTCTCTATGTCTATGTTACATATATAAATTATAGATGAAAAATACGGGAATATTATGGATTTATTAATATGTTTTGTTAGCTGCGCATAATATTTTTTTATTTTAATATATACTACGAACAGCGATATATTATTAAAATGTTTTGTGTTAAATATTAAATTGAATATTAAATTTTTAATGAAATATAAAAATATATGTAAGAATAATACATTAAAATATAATAAGAAATATTTGAATATTAAGTTATTAATGAAATATTTTTATGTATCTACGCATAGAATAGAATAGACCATAGACTTTTTTTTATAAGACATTTAAATGCCCATACAACAGTGCCTCTATACCATTTTAATAGTCGCTTGGAACTACATGGCCACATCTACTATTCGGTGCCATGATAAAACCGCCATTTGATATATGTCCGTGCTACATCTACAATATTGTGGTTCAGGATAATGGGAATTTATACGATTGCGTAATAAAATAAATTTTCTTTAACACAATGTAGAAGTTATATATCTACAATAAATTGTTTTCCTTTCTTTATTATTTTGGAAACAAAAGTATGAAATGTATCAGGCAATATCAAATTATGCTTTTTTAATTTATAGCAAATTCCGAACTAATGCGCACTAAAAGTGTGCGTATTAAAGGCCGTCGTATACAAATTTATAATAATATAAAGAAGTAAAACAATAAAATAATAAATAACTACAAATATTATTATTGCTTTTAATGTTGCTTTTAATAAAAAATTTTTTTTTTTGTATTAATATTAAGGTTATTCTATTAATATTAAGATTATTCTATCATATTTATAGATAGAATATCTATCATATATAGAATATCTATCATATATATAGATAGAATAACTAGATCGTCTTTGTTTCAAAAACGTTTCATAGATATTTCTTTCAAATGTTTTATGACCAGCTCTGGAAAACGTTTCTCATTAGTTAAAATGTCCACTCAAAAAATAGTTTTTCGACAAAAAAATAAAACCGTTTAAGAAACGGTCAAAATACCGGTTTTTTCTTTTATCCGCGAGAACAGTTTGCTTTCTCACGGAATTAATAAAATAATGCATTTACATACCCAGACAGCACCAAGTCATCTAAAAGATGACTAAAAGTTTTAATTGTCTTTATGGTTTTGTTATGACATCTTTTAATCTTTCTAATTATATGTATGTATTGTAGGATTAGAATCCAATAAACATCGTTATATTAATGTTATATTAATCGTTATATTAATCGTTATATTAATTGTTATATTAAATACATCAGTGTAACAAAATTATGAGTATTACAAATAATATCACATAAATATTATCGGTAAGCTGTAATTTCTCATTATAATAAATGTAATAATAAACATATATTATATTGTATTTATATACATTGCAGTTACATATCCTATGTATGTATGAACAAAAATATTTGGCCCACTATAATTATAAATGTATGTATATATATAATTAAATTTAAATAATTTAATTTATAAAACTAAAGATTTTATTTATATAGAAATTAACTTTTATATTTTATATCTTCAATAGACAATAACAAACGTTTTTTTACTTATTCGGACAATTTCTGTCCAAATAAGTGAAAATCGAACATTTATTTGTCCAATTTTCCAAAAATCAGTTAAATATCTGAATCGCTCGTATGAGAATTGTATTAGAAATTAAACTGATAGAAATAGTTGTTACAATCTTAGTAGCCGCGCTTTACAGGTTTTATATAGTTTTCATGATTCAAATACGAAATAGATGTTGCATAGTGCGTCACATATAGCAATAAGCAAATGAACTTTTTGTTTGGCTGAAAAAACATCATTTAGTTGTTTTTTCGCTTTGCCGAAAAGATAATTTAAAAAAAAATTATAAAACTAAAGATTTTTTATTTATATGGAAATTAACTTCTATGTTATATCTTAAGTAGACAATATGGCCGGATTTACAATAGGTATAGTAAGCCTTTAGCCTTTAGAATTATATCGGTCGAAAGCTTTAAGAGTTGAGATCTAGCCAGTTCGATTAAAGCTTAGAGATTAGAGCTTCAAGCAACACGGGGAACATTTCTCGGAAACTATGTCATATTTTAGGGCTTAAAACAAAAGGTTAAAGGTTTACTACACTTATTGTAGATCCGGCCTAACAAACGATTTTCATTTACTTAGACAGAAATTGTCCAAATAAATGAATTTTAGACACATATCTGTCCGATTTTCAAAAATCAGTTTAATATATCTGAATCTTCTGTATAGAGATTGTATCAGAAATTAAACTGATAAAAGTAGTATACAATCTTATTAACTGCGCTTTGCAGGTTGTATATAGTTGTACATAGTTCTCTAAAGACTAAAACTTAAATACTTATAGATAATGCATAACGCGTTGCATCTTTTAGACATCTTTTCGTCATCTTTTAGTTTTTTGTACAGTTTGAGACAATTATAATTTGTTTTAAAAAAAGGATTATTCATACATTTGGAAGCACAAATTAACATGTAATCTCCGTAGTACATAATTATACGTATATATACGTATACATACGTGTACATAATTTTGAATCAAAAGAATTAATTTATCCTGTCTATAGAAATGTAAAAAACACATTTTTTATGTTATGGTTTCTGTCAAGATGTTTCTTATCGATGCTTGATGGGTAAAAACATTGGATATGTTCAGGAAACATATATATTGTCTTCAAAAAAGCATTACGAAAACTTCCTTTGAAAGATAAGAGTAATGAGATTAGTTTATAAATATTTAATTCAACATATTTTCTCTAACTGTAATATAAAAAATATAACACTTTATTTAAAAAATGGAATTGATCTGAAGATCTCCAAAACGCCTTTACTTAAAGAGAAAAATATATATGCATAGTTAATAAAATTAAACTATTAGAGTATCATAAAGATGAGAATATTAGAATATTATCTTTAATTATATATTTATATCATATATTTTTCTACACAACATAATGTCAAAACAGTTTACAAAAATATATGTAGAGATCAAAGATTAATCGTACATAAAATAAAATAAAAAGATTTGTGCTTTGGCATCTTTTAAATTAAAGCTAACTTATATCAATTTTATCAACGATTTTATGTAATAAAATTTAATGTAGTAACTAATATTTTAGTTATATGTAATGATATTACCACTTATTTCCTCGTTTATTGATTTATCAGATATACTTTTAGTACAAAAATTTGCAAAGAAAAAACATGTATTGTATCTAGAGCTATACACGAGCAGAATTGTGTTATATTATCGCCGTTTCCTTTTCTAAACCACCGTGGACCGGTGTGCATGTCAAGCGCACTTTGCCGCTTATGAAATCATTACAATGACCTTGGGTCAATAAACGCACTTCTTTATATATATATGTCGGTCATTCGGGTATTTTATATTTCAATTGTGACACGGTCCACGTCAAGTCTTACGATGTAATATATTATAAAGCATACGTAATCTCTATTTTAGAGTTAATTATCTCGATTTTAATATTGTATTTGGACACGTTTTTATAAAATGTTTTATTTTTCCAAAATATATATATATATAATCATATTATTAATTATTAGTGGCATTAAGTATGTGTGTGTTACGTATTTTTTTTATTTTATTGTCTTTTGTATCTTGTTTTATATATCCGTATTTTATTTTTATTTCAAAACTTGATGTTTTATGCAATATTACTACTGACCAATGGTCGACATAAAAAATCGATATGCGAGCTACAGAGTTGCATTAAAAAAAATATTGATATTTTTATTTTATAATTGGACTCCTTTTCTGTGTAAATATAATTTTATTTTAAAATGGTAAGGAAAGTAAAAGAGATTCTGATAGAGCAATAATTCTTTTCTCTTTTATCGGTAATTATTTTAATAAAAGCAATAAGAGAATTTATTATGCTATTATTATTATTATTTTACATTAATATATGCAGTTATATCGTTTTCCATATTATCAATATAATGCAAATAATATTGGCTCGTTTAAACCTCCGGTACATAATAGTACTGAACCACTCAATAGGCCAATAGAAGAAGCGGCTGTAAACAGGATGTTGTTATCCCACTTGTTCTTTTCGTTATCACGTCAATCATATCACTAGAAGTATACAAATGGGTACGACACGTATATATTTAAACGACGCTGTGTACTTGATGCCACTATAAGAGCAGGGCTACAGAATTTAAAACCGGAGTTATCCACTGGCAGCGGTGAGAGAGATCGTCAGCTGCTTGTCTTAGGTTAGTTAGGTCCATTCGATTAAGATTCATCATTGTTTATTATCGGTGTCGTCAAACGTCAGTAAAGAGCAGATTAAAATTTAATGCGTAGTAAAATACTGATCATAATACTGATCATAATACTGATCTTTTCTCCACGTGATCTTGTGATATCACACATAGCACAGAACATTACAGCAATATTGCTACAATGTTCTGTGCTATGTGGGATGTTAAACATTCTTGTCGAAACCGCATGTGAAATTAATCCTTATATTTTGCAGGGGATTAGCATCTATATATACATACTATTTTACAAACACAAGCTCTAGATTTTTTTTTGTGAAATCTTAGATGAGAAAGTAAAAATGATCGTACCAACATATTTATAGTTTAAAGTTGAAATAGTTTGGCATATGATTATTATATATTGAAAAGGTAATGTGTATTAATAAGTTATATTAATGTTCAATGACATTGGCATGTATAATAAGGAAAATTAATTCGAATAACAATGCGGTTTATAGAACAAAGAAAAAATATATGTTACAAATAAATACAATTTTTTAAAAAATGTTTAATCCGTGCAAGATTTATCTGTTAGACTATAATAACGCTGATTGCGAAATGCATCTTTGAGGATTGGATTAATATTATATTGCTCCTATTTAAAAATGACAAATGACGACTCGGAATCTTATTAATAAAGACCCCCGCACAATCGAAAATATAAGGAACAGGGAACAAATATTAGAGATAAGGACTGACTTGACTTTTGTTAAAATAACTTTACAATATTTTAAAGTAAAGTAACGTTACTTTAAAGTAATTTACAAGCTATGTAAACACCACATAACCTGGAAAATTGAAAGAAAAGTTACTTTAACAAAAGTCAAGTCAGTCCTTATCTCTAATATTTGTTCCTTGTTCTTTATATTTTCGATTGTGCGGGAGCCTTAAGCATTATCTCAATTTAAAATCAATATTTTTTGCAAAACTGGAACGTATGACGTCACATATTAAATAGAGATTATGTTTCATAATTAAAACTGCGAAATTTTGTAATTGATCGTAATGCTATATTTTTTACGTTTTACATTTGTATCATTTGAACAATGCCGTTATCGAGATTAGCAGCGATATATATATTTTTATATAGTATTTTAATACATAAATAAAACAATATACATATATACATAAATATTATCCTTTTTCTCTTATACTTTAGATTAATTTTATACAATATGGATATCTCTCTCTCTCCCATATACACACCGAATAATGCATTTTTTACATATATACGTTATGTGTATATTATATATATATATATATATATATATATATATATATATATATTCACGGTAGTATCATTCTAACAATTAAGCTATCGTAATGATTCTTTGGCAACTCGAAGCTGTCGGATATTCGAAATTAGTAAAAAAAATAATTGTTTTTAAGAAAAAGTAGGTAATTATTTATAATGTATTTATAATATATATTTTTTAAACAATTATTTGTTTTTTCTTTACACTAATTGATTTGTGTTATTATTCTGTACATAAAAGTATTACGGTAAGATTGTCAAAAACTAAATATTTTACGAGATATTTTAATTTTTATATCAAAATATGTCAGATTAAAATATAAAATAACTCAAAAAGTACTTAATGAAAAAATACTTTATTATAGTGTTTTGGAAAGCTCTCGACATAAGCTATAAGAATATGCAATAAAAAATAGGGGTTTCCATTTAAGAAATTGAAAGTGACCTTCATGTGACCTTCAAATGACTATCCAAGGTCACATCAATGGCGCCATCTTATGTCCCCCTTCGAACCAAACAACTTTTGTCTGAAACGTTTTTCCGTATCTTCCATATTTTTCGAGATATTTGACTGGCTCTTTTAAAATAGACCACCCTGTATATGCGTTTGAAAATAAAGTTTATTTCAGTAAAATGTGTATAACAAATTATGCTTACCAAAATCGAATTCAGGATTCGTCTCTCTTATCATTCAAGGAGGAACTGGATGAATCAGCTACGTTGAAAATTAATAAATATAATACATTTCGAGATTCACAAATTTGACATTGCGCACATACACACATAAAGCACTGTTAGCCTTTTAAGATATAAAATTAATAATTAATTTATGAGTTAAAATAATTATTTGCCCTGTAGAATTAAAATTTTTATTTTCATGAATTTCTGTGTAGATTCACTATAAAATTTTTGTGGTACAATCACTATAACAAAGTTATAACTTTCGATATAAGATAATTTACGATTCTGAGATTAAATTATATATTCTACAGGGCAAATCTTTACTTTAACTCATAAATTAATTAATTTTATATTTTGAAAGGCTAAAAGCGCTTTGCGCAATGTCAAATGTCCTGAATCGCGAAATGTGTTAGATTTATCAACTTTTGACATAGCTGATCCGTCCAGTTCCTTCTTAATAGTTACTTATTTTTTATCCGCTACTTTACTCTTCGTTAAATTTTTAAAAATATTACTCTTTGTTTAACAAACGCTTTATTTTCCCGTGACAAACGGAGAACGGCTTCAAATAAATTGGAGCTCGTTAATCGTAAGAAGAGGTCAGTAGTGCAGTTTAGCCGCTTGTATAAGAGCAGCTCCAACATCAGTAACTCCATTAAAGTGGATCAACGTTGCACGGTGTCACGATGAACGTCGTAGTGATACCGTTCTTCTTAGGTGAGAATTTCGAATTGCCGTCGCCAGCATCGCGTAGACGACTTGGGATGGGACCGACTCAAATTGAGATCGTTTGCCGATTCCCGATTCTCTTGCAATTGATTCTCAGTTTGTTTCGAATGACGTTACCTTCCGTAAGTATGAGGATCGATACCGGATCGATACCGGCAAGTCGGGTTTACGAAATGGAACCAACACGTAATGTGAGCACTTACCGGAAACCGTGAAAGAAACGTCCTTAAGCCGAGAGAGATAACAAAGATATTTAACCGTGCCAGAGAGATAACAAAGATATTTAACCGAGTATGACGTCAAGATATTGACGTCATACTCGCCGCTCTAATCAAACTCCATTCAATCTCCTAACCGGTCAGCCATTCAGACCGGCCATTCTCGCGGGCCCCATGCGTGCAATGATACGATGATGCTTATTTTTTTTTCCCAGCGGCGCATCTTTCTACCGATGAAACGTGGGCGCATGGACCGGAGTACACGTTTCAGGTCCAGGTGAACTGCACTGCGATCCCGGAGGAGGGCATTTACGGTAGTGTACGGCTGAATTTGGAGTCGAAGCTGATTTGCCAGCCGTTGAAGAGTGGTCACTCATTGAGCTGTCACTTCGAGGACTCGAAGGCGAACAGTTTCGTCACGGATAGTCTCGATCCGTCGGAACTGGCGACGCCAACTGGACAAGTGAACCGACAACCAGCTTATGAGATTAACGAGGATCAATTTGAGATCAAGTTCAACAAGCGAGGACTGGACGATCTCGTAGTGAACGAGAACATTCAGCCGCGCGAGCTTGATATGATCAGGCTGATTGTGGGTCAGTTGAGTGTGGGCGCCATCCTCGAAGGCATCGGCAATGACGTGATTTTTGACGCGATGGAGAACTTTACCCAGGGCGAGTGTTACACAACTTTCAAGATCGACAAGAAGCTTGTGGATCGTTCGTTGTATGGGAAACCAAATTATGCGCTCAGGCCGGTCTTTGGATTGAGGGACGGAAAACTGGTGCAAATACGAAAGATCAGGAACCTATACATGTGCGCGCATAAGGTGCCATATTTCTTCGGCAGTGCCGACAGCTTCCAAGAAGAAAGCGACATTATATCTGACGCAGTAAGGGCCGACTATATACTTTTATGATCGTTTTATTGAATCTTTCTCTCCTTGCCCATACATAATTATAATGTATATACATAAAAATGCTCAATAATGTGCAAAACTGTGCAATAATCGATTCTGACAGATAATCGATATGGCGAGTTATGTACGTTAACAATCTTCAATATTTATGAATAGATATGCTATAAGTTGTCAAAACTCTACAAATGATGAAATAAGATACAATGCAAAATACAGCTTTTATTCTTTAATATTTAATCATTATCAAGTCAGTTTTAATTTACTATAAAAATTTGAATATCATTTTCAATTTAATTAAAGTATAATAGGCAAATAATAATTAATTATAATACTTATAATTGTCTCTATGATAACCGAGAATCTACATTTCCTCTTTTTCTGTCATAGAGTTTGTCGAATGGACACATCATCATAATGTCGACAGAATTCATATCCGGTACGTCGAATGTGATAACAAGGAGCAAAATAAACGAAGAAGTGGTAACGACTCTTTACGAGAACGTACGGCTCAGGCTCGAGTCGATCCAACCCGCGGAGAGCGAACCGCCAGCTGTGAAGGAAGCAGAATCTGCTAGTATCTTCATAGGCAGATGGTTAATAGACAATTCGTCTGAGGAAGATAACTAAGATACCGAGAACAATTGCATTATTCATGCACGAATGACGCGTATGAGACACGAAATTAAGAAATTCTTTTGTTGCAAAGTGTGACTTACATTAATTTGATTCAGCTATTTATCATGTAAATTAGAGATATAAGTATTCAGGTTGCAACGATGCGTTTTTGCGTTCAACAAATTACTAAAAAATATTATTCTGTGTGAGTGAATGGTATTCGCGATAATTATAAATCAAACTGTAGAACTATTATAATCTTAATTAATAAAAAAAGTGTTGTTATGAAAGTGCCGTATATTTTAATGTGCAAGAGTGTACAGTGATAACAAAGTCTTATTACTTGTATAATATTGTAAAAGCGGTTGATTTTATGAGAAAAATAAAATATTATATATTATATTAATAAAAATTGCATTTATATTTTTTCTTATATAAAAATTACTATTATATATATGATAGATAATAAGATCATAGCAAAAACAGAAGGAAACTTTTTCTGTTAATTAATATTTTCTCTTTTTCTCTAATAAATATTCTCTCTTTCTCTCTAATAATATCTCTCTATCCTATTATAATAATATGATATTATATACATATAATACACATACATACCCACACAAAATATAATAAGGGTGTCCCACCAAAAGTGGCCACCTCCTTTATCTTTTAAACTAAAAGAGATAAACCGTAACAAATATATATTTTAAATTAAATGGTTCAAACTGATGTGAGCTCTATTTTGAGCATAGTGGTTGCTTTCAAAAGCTATCTATGTTATCGAACAGAGAGGTATGCACTTTTTTATAATAATGCGAATATTTCGATGTGATAAAAGTTGTAGCGCTGTTTGAAACGAATACAACAATGTATGATATAATGTAAGTATTTTACATATTATACGAGTTTTATCGACTTGAAATATCGCGGGCGACATCTACTTTTTCACTTTCTGCCCTGCGTTATGGCTAACTTCTGACTCGTGCATTAGAGATTGACATATGTCATGTTGTTATTTAATCATAATCAATCCGAAGTTGGCCATATTGCAGGGCCGAAAATAAAACAGTAGATGTCGCCCGCGATATTTCAAGTTGATAAAACTCGTATAATATGTAAAATATTTACATTATATCATACATTGTTGTATTCATTTCAAACAGCGCTATAACTTCTTTCATGTTAAAAAATTCATATTATAAAAAAATTATGCATATCTCTCCGTTCGTTAACACAGATAGCTTTTGGAAAACCACTATGCTCACAAGAGTTCAGTTTGAACCATTTAAATTTAAGTTGATATATGGGACGAGATGTGCGTGTGTATTAATTTTTTATATTTGCGGTTCCTTATATAATAATTCTCTACGTGTTACGGTTTCACTATATAATACTAATTTATTATATTTATATGTTTTTAATTAATATCTTTTTTCGCTCCGCAAACGCAATATGCTAAATATAAAACAACATTACAACATATATAATACACATATACACATTATGTTTGCATCCTGTATAACATATGTCAAAAGAAAAGTGATCTGTGAGGTATAAATTAATGTCAACATTTATCGGAATTTGTTATGTAGATTATGTTAATAAAATATTCATGGTTAAATATGAGGTCTATTGCGGAAAAGTTGCGAATTAGATTATTTATATCTTCAAATAATTTTTAACTATGTTTATTCAAACTTAGGGGGTTTTTAGGTCGCTAAATGCAAATTTGATAAATTTAAAATAACAGAAATAATATAGATGTCCAAATTAAAAAATGTTTATGAAAAATTTTGCAAAAATTTATGTATACACATTTTTATGTATACATAATTATTTATGTATACAAACCTTAAGTTTGAATAAATATAATTAAAAATTATTTAATACATATTCAATAATATCTAATTTGTAAATTTTTCTGTAAACTATAATTAATCAACCATGAATATCTTATTAATTATATAGTTGATTCTTTTTTAAGGAATAAAAATCCTAACTACTTAATTTTGATTGCAACTAACATAAAACTTCTCCAATATGTCACGTATAGTAGCTATAATATGATATAAAAGGTAATTATTTACTATAGCGGACCCAGCTCCAATGACGTTGACCTTGACATATGTTGTCAAGGACATAATCCTGAGTAACTTTTCCTTATAACTTAATCGGCGGTCATTATTTATTACAAAGTTATTAACAAATAAAGTTTGAGAAATAAAACGATAAAACGATGATTTAAAACTAAAATTTGGTTGGGGTTATGTTGTATAACTCAAACCAAATTTCCAGAAATAGGTTTGGATTAGGTTATATCTTCCGGAAGTAGAGCCCCCTCGTAGGGGGAGGCGGAACCCACTGCGTCCACACATACACTTTCCCATCCACACAACAATTCTGGGCTGGACCCTTAGAACATATATAAATGGAAGGGGAATAGCAGGCTGAAAAGTGTCGAAGGAAGTGAGAAAGAAATCGTAGTTGCCTCTCTCTTGTGAGTAACTACACATACAAGCATCGTGTCTGTAGTATACATACTTTTGTGTACACACACATGGCCGCGCATGCGCACTTTTGAGCAAAGTAACTCACAAGAGAGAGGCAACTATGATTTTCTTTCTTACTTCCTTCCGACATGTTTTTCTATCGGGAAACAAAGGCATTCCCCTTCCATTTATAGACCTTGACATATGTTGTCAAGGACATAATCCTGAGTAACTTTTCCTTATAACTTAATCGGCAATCATTATTTATTACAAAGTTATTAACAAATAAAGTTTGAAAAATAAAACGATAAAACGATGATTTAAAACTAAAATTTGGTTGGGGTTACGTTGTATAACTCAAACCAAATTTCCAGAAATAGGTTTCGATTAGGTTGTATCTTCCGGAAGTGGAGCCCCCTCGTAGGGGGAGGCGGAACCCACTGCGTCCACGCATACACTTTCCCATCCACACAACAATTCTGGGCTGGATATGTTCTAAGGCTCGACCTCGCTTCGCGTTGTAAAGTATATTCATGGACACAGTGGGTTTCGCCCCCCCCCCTACGGGGGGCTCTACTTCCGGAAGATATAACCCAATCCAAACCTATTTCTGATTTAAAACTAAAATTTGATTCAAGTTACGTTATATAACTCAAACCAAATTTTCGTTTTGAATCTAACTTTAACTTTAAATATCTCAAAAATTATAAGAGACTGCCGATTAAGTTATAAGGAAAAGTTACTCAGGATTATGTCCTTGACAACATATGTCAAGGTCAACGTCATTGGAGCTGGGTCCGCTATAGTAAATAATTACCTTTTATATCATATTATAGCTACTATACGTGACATATTGGAGAAGTTTTATGTTAGTTGCAATCAAAATTAAGTAGAAAGTTAGCTATCCTATTAATTGATCAATATGAATTATATAGTAATAATTTGTAAAATCACATTTTCAATATAATAGAATGATGAAACATTTTCAATATAATAGAATGATGAAACATGAAAAAACATGAAAGAACTATTCAAGAATAACAACGTTTTCGAATGTTAACAAATTTTCAATTAGTAGTGAGACAACGGCTGGCAAATTTTTTAAAACTTTCCAGCGCTATCTATTCCAATATTTACAGTGCAGAGGCTAGAAAAGCACTAGATAGCATTAAATATTTTCAAACTTCATTTATAATGTTTAATGGCTAGATAATCACTAGACAGTCATTAGAGAAATTATGCAACAATGACATAACTTCATTTTTCAAATGCTAACAAATTTTCAGCTAATAGTGGCTAGACAATGGCTAGCTAATTTTTAAAAGTTTCTAGCGTCATCTATTCTAATATTTACTGTGCAGGGGCTAGAAAAGTACTAGATAGCGAAGAATTATTCATAAATTATAGCTAATACTAAGCTAATCAATGGCTAGGTAACATATCTAGCCTGCGTGATACAGTCATTAGCTGTAAAATAACATTGGCTAGATCAATTTCCACTCGGGTAGTTTTGTCTTTGAAATTATCTTTATAATATCATTACGTTAATTTTCATGATACAATATTCCAAAACTTTGGTGAATTGCACTGCCATATATGACTGTCCTTAAATAAAAACGGCAAACTAAATACAATGTTATATTATAGTGTTACTAATTGTTATGTTTAACAAAGTCACAGGCGCCAGAGAGATTCAAATCGATCTTAAATTACGGTAAATTTATATTCGCTCTTGCAATACCCATCACCGAAAACTTATCATATTATAAAAGAATTATTTATATATATATATATATGACCAATTTTTTCCGGAAGAATTATTATGAGGATATACGAAGTGTGCCGGTTATAAAATAACCGGACTCAAGCAGTATAAAATCAAATAACGATCCTAATGGCACACTTAATTTATTTTATTCAAAATATATGTTTTCGGTATCGATATAGCATTGAGCAAGGTGAACTATTGAGTGAATTGATTTCTGGAATCTCTTTTTCAGAATCGCTTCTAGTACCTTTGCCGCAACCGCTTGGATCGCCGGAATGTTATCGTAGTGAGTTCCTTTTAATGGAATTTTCAAAACAGATTTTTGGAAACAGAGACAAAGTGCCAAATCAGGCGAACATGGCAGATAGTTAAGCACTACTAGTGTTCCAAGCGTGTAATTTCAGTAATTATTCAGTTCAGGGAAGTTAGCTCCAATGACTGTGACCTTGACATATATTATAGAGATTATCGTCCTGAGTAATCTTCAAAAGATTTTAGCCATCACTCATTGTTCATTAAAAAGTTATCAACAAAAGAAATTTAATGAATAGAACGTAATTTTCTAAAACCATGTAGATACAATTGTACATTCAACATTTCGTACAATAAACATTTGCATCGCGTTTTTCTTAAGTTTTACATAGTACTTGATATATACTTTTTACTTCATTATGTTTTCGCGGCCAAAATAAAATTTTTACTGGCCCTTTTAATCGACATATTTTATAACACGTACATCCGATGATAACGAAATTTTTACAGTTGATAGAGCTGAAGCTTTAAAACTATCACTTATTGATAGTTAGCATTAACACAAAGAACTAAAAACATTAATCCGGTTATTTTATAGCTAAGCCATGTATTTTCTATCTCCTATTATAATATTGTAAATTATTAATCTCTCGAAAATATGTATAATTTAATTATTATTATTTTATTTTGCATAACTTCTTGACATGTCAAAAAAAAATAATAATAATATTCTTAATATCTTTTGTGCGTTTCCATCCAGAGATATAGATGTAGATATTGTTACATAACTGGAACTTGATGTCTAATATAAATTTTGAGTCATATACCAAAAATATTAATATCAATGTCAAAAATGAAATCGTCTTCTTATACGAGAAGATTGAGCTAAGTTTCGACTTTATA